GCAGTGCTGCTCTTCCCTTCACCTATCTGTACACAGCCACGCCAGGACCCCTGTCCACCTGCCACTGCTTGGAGATACTCAGCACCACTGGGCTCAGTGCTCAAAGCTTCTGGGTAACAAGTCAGTTCAGGAAATCTGCTGTAGAGAAAGCCCTCCCTGAGCTACAGCAGTAGGTGAGACCTGGTGGCATGCTGCCCCCAAGGAGCTCTGATGATGAGGAAATGTCACAAGTCAGGATGAGACAGGAAAAGTGAAAGGTGCTGTAGGATATAAAGGGGACAATCTCAAAGTGCATCAGAGAAGAATGCATGAAAGAGATGGTGTCTGAGCTAGCTTTGAAAACTCATCCCAGTGTGACTGAGAACAGCAGGAGCAAAGACCTGGAGGTGGGGGCAGTGCAGAGGATGTAGTGATGGGCCAGGCTGTGTGGAGAGGGAAGTGGAAGTCAGGCCGAAGAAGCAGATGCTGCCAGACTCTGGGGGCCTTGAAGACTCAGCAAGGATTTGGACTTAATGCTGTGGTGATGGGGAGCCATGAAGGGTCTCGGTCAAAAGAGTGATGGATCAATTGGGGCTAGACTTCAATGGCAGAACCACTATGAGGAATGTGAGGAATTTCTTTTAGAGACTAGAGGGACAGAGCCTTGGGAGCAGCTGGAGACAACAATGAAAGCTGGTACCTCTGTGTCTTGTGGTGTGCCTGAAGGTGCACCAGGACCCTGGAATGACAGTCTGGAAGAAGGTGGGTGTAAAGGGAGCGAAAGAACACCTTCTCTTCTCGTTGTGTAATGGTGCCCAGCCATGTTACAGATGGTAAGTGCTTTGTCATCACGGGTCCTGTGGTGGGGATGAGGGGTGGATAAAAGGAAGCAGAGTAGAATCCCAGCCAAGCCCTTATGGACCTGGGGTATAAGTGAGAAATCTGTTGGTTTGAAGCCACTTAATTAATGATTGCATTACCACAAGATAGGCTAGCTCATGTTGACTGACAGAGTCGGAGGGCAACAGTAAATGTGGGAGAATTTTCTAGTGAGCAGACCTCCCCCAAGCAGAGCTGTGACAGCTGCTTTCACCTCTGCATTTCTTAGGCTATAGATGATGGGGTTCATTGAGGGTGTCACGGCGGCATAAAACAGTGTGATAATCTTATCCACATTGGGATTCTTTGCCTTAGGCTTGAGGTACATGAAGGAGATGGTCCCATAGAAAATCACCACCACTGTGAGGTGTGCAGAGCAGGTAGAGAAGGCTTTGCGCCGGCCTGAAGCAGAGGGAACCCGAAAGATGGCAGCCAGGATGAAAATGTAGGAGAGACAGATGAGCAGGAGAGGGGTCACTGTCAGGATGGTTGTAGCCACCATCAATACCAGGGCATTAAGGGAGATGTCCCCACAGGCGAGTTTCAGCACTGCTAAGATCTCACAGAAGAAGTGGTTGATGACATTGTGGCCACAGAAGGGGAGGCGCCAGATCAGGATGGACTGTAGCAATGAGTTGACAAAGCCTGTCCCCCAGCTCAGCACTGCCATCTGCCAGCACATCTGTCCAGTCATGAGCTCTGTGTACCTGAGTGGGTGGCAGATAGCCACATAACGGTCATAGGCCATTGCAGCCAGGAGAAGGCACTCTGTAGCGCCCAAAGCCAGGGTCAAGTACATCTGCAGGGCACAGGCTGGGAAGGAGATGGTACTTCTGGTTTGTAGGAAGTTGGTGAGCATGAGAGGTATGAAGGAGGAGGTGGCACAGATGTCTATGAGGGAGAGGTTGCTGAGAAAGAAGTACATGGGGTTGTGCAGGTGGGGGTTCAGCATGATCAGCACCATGAGGAGGGAGTTCCCCAGCAGATTCATGCAGTAGATGCCCAGGCAAAGCACAAACAGGACCATCTCTAGGTCATGATGCCCATGGAGCCCCAGCAGGACATAGTCCATCACAGTTGTCTGGTTTGTCTCCTCCATCTCATCCTCTTTGCTCTTTCATCTGGACCACACAGCTTTTAGAAAGAAGCTCTTGCTGGTGTGGGGACCAAAGGTGCTGGATGTGTGACTTGCAGTGTATCAGCCTCCCTCTCTGGAACCGAGTTTTATCATCTGTACAAGGAGAGGGTGGCCTTCAGGCCTGCAGCTGGCCCTCCCAGCTTGGCAGTTCTTCCCACCTTATCTAGGGGGTGGTGTGGTGCATCTCAGCCTCTTGGACTACTTACTGGCTGTTCTTGTCTGAAGCTTTCAGAGGAGAATCTTTGACATATTTTGTGTTTTTTTAACCCAAAGTATTCTAATCTTTTAAAGTAAGCATCTTTTCTTCGTTATGACTTCTTATGACTGAATTATGTCCTCAGCATTACGGATTTCTTCATTTGCTGATTCATTCAGTCTGTGCTAGGTATTGTTTCAGGTGCTGAGTCTATATCAGTAAGAAAAATAAGATCAATAAATTCTAACCCATCCCTCTTGCTGGCTGTCTTCTTTGACTGAGGTGAGATTATCTCTGAGAAACAGGTGTGTGATAGATGATCATGCAGGTGTCCCTCTGGGCCCTGAGGATGGTACATTTTGCCTTCATACGATGTGTAAATCCGGTAATGGTCCTGTCTCCTTAAGGAATCATAAACTATTTATTGTGTTGTTGTTGTTGTTTTTTTTTTTGAAAAGACACACATAAACATATATACCCCAGTGTAGCTGCTGGTCACAGGATTTAACCTTGGTCATGAGATACAAGTGACTTGTTTGTGTGTTTCTGTTGGAGCAAGCCCAAAATGGCTGTTTTTGGGCCCTCTTGCTGAGATTTCCAGGGGTGGAACTGGCAATTTTATGTTTAGTCGATGCTAGAAACATTCTGATTCTGCTTGTATACTCAAAGTCATAAACCTTAATTTGTGTCCATGTGCCCCCTTAGGTAGCCTCTTGGCAGTGTGCTTTCTTTATCTGTCCTTCATATAAAAGGCCTATGGAAAAGACTTGGGGGTTCAGGGGGCAAAATGAGGGCTGAAACTGAAGATGGAGGCAGGAGGCTTTGCATCCTGTAAATCGTTCCACCTGCCGAGCCCAGAACTTTGTTTCCTGGAGCAGAGCCCCTGCACCACAGCATCCATATTACTTTTTAGGATAAGTGAGACTGGCAGAGCTGTCAGTCAAGCAGGGGACACCAGGAGCTAATCTGGCCTTGGTGTGGCCAGTTGTTGACTAGCTTTAGAAAAGGCAATTGTGGGCAGGGACTTCTTGCTGCTAGGCAGTCTTCACTGCTATGCCAAGCTTGGTGTCAAGCTCTCCTTGGGAAAGGACAGCGTCAATATTCCCAAGCCTATATGTCCCCAAAGCATAATAGTGTCTTTAGGACAGAAAAACTGTCTTATGGGTCAGGTGGCCCCTGGTGTGAAGGAGAAATAGGAGGTGAGGTTGAACTTTGATTTTTCAGTAGATGTAACGCACCCTCCCCACCCCCCCACTCTTGGTTTGTCTGTAAAGTCAGACAAACTAGGACAGAGATATAGCCTGTCTTTTATTTTGGGCTGGAATATTTTCTCATTGCTCCTGCTTAATCATATCTGCCGTTTGTATGGGCCCCATGCTCCACTGAACCATGTCTTTCCCAACTCTGTATTACTCTGCCCAAGACTGAGGCATGTCCTCCCTTCTTGCCAGTGGGGGCCTCCCTGCTCATTTTTCAGAGACCAGCTCTGGATCTCCTCTTTCTTCTTTCCTCTGTTCCTTGCAGAGTTACCTGCTGCCTTCTTGTTGTCTCATAGCCATCCTTTTATATTACTATGTGGCAGGTGATTTGCCTGCCTTCCCTAGCACACCTTGAGGGCAGAACAATATGCCCTTCCTTCCTGCACTACCCATACCTGGTGCTGCCAAGAGCAGGCACTCAATAGGTTTGAATGCCTGTTTAAGAAATCCCCCAGATGGTCTCCTTGTTTCGGCACATAGTAGCTGTATGATATTAACCAAGACTCACTGCCTCTGAAACTGCTTTCCCTTTGAAAATCAGAGATCTGTGCAGCACAGAGGAGACACACATGGACATGATTGTAAGCCACCTGGGGTAGTACAGCCACATATTACTGGGGCTCCAGATGGAAGATTGAAACTTCAACCACAGGCACCTGCTTGGTCTGTACTTGTCACCTCTCAAGACAAGGGCTCTGTGGAGGGCTGATGCAGGTTTTCCTTTCTTTAACCTGAATTAAGGTGTTTGTTAAGGGACAGTTTCTGTAATCTGCAATTTACATGGCAGTTGCTCAATCTGGGTCAGTAATTCCCCTTAAATTAATCCATATGAACATTTGAAGGCAGAGTTCCTTGGGCTTAGATTGTCACAAAGATAAAGAAATGCCCAGTTGTGCTGTGTCCTTCATTTCCTACTTGACTATTAGTCACTGGGAAAGTACTACGAGCTGGTGCCTATGCCAGGTACTGAGAATACAGCAGAAATAGTCATGTCTTCTACCCTCCTGGAGTTTATATTCATTTATTCACTCTCTGGGTCCCAGCAACCTTGGACACATCTCTTTCCTCCTTTGCTTTAGACCTCCAGTATTGTCCATGAGTCTGGGGTATAAAGACAATTGTCAAATCTGAAATCTGGAAAGAAGCCCTGGGAGGGCTCTGTCTCAGCTCTGTGTGCACTTACAACAGACCTATGTTCATTTCAAATTCTGACGTATTTTTTCAGGCAGGGGAAGGTGGTAATTCCCTGAGTCTGCATCTCTCTCCTCACCCTGGTCTCTTACCAAAGACCCAAGAGGGAGAGGTGCAGGCATTTGAGGCTTCTGGCAACAGACTGTGGCCTGCCCTCTTGCCTCACTTCCACACCACCCTTCACACACACCTGCTTGGCCAGACTACTGCCGTTGCTGGGAGAAAGGCGGCTAGACGGTCCTTTGTTGTCTACTTATTCTTATAGGCTGAGTTCACCCTGCACTTTCTGCATGCAGCTCACTCTGATGGCTCTGAAGGACTGTCCACCCAAACTACAGGATGGTTGCCCTGCATTAACACAGATTAATTTCATTGTGCCTTGAATTCTGGCTAGATTGCTGATTCTCTCTGACTAGACTGTTGAATAATGAGCAATTGAAGCAAAAGCACTGTGTCTGGTTCATCACTGTCACCCTCCAAGTGCCCTGCCCAGGAGTATCAGTGATTGCCATTCTAATGGAACTAAGCATTCATTGAAATCCAGAGCTGCTATTCGTCCCAAAATCTCATCCCAATGTCTCACCTTGGGACTAACACTCCTTACCCGCTTCCCTGACCATCACACTCTTCAATAGAATGATACCACCATTGTGATTGCTGGAAGATGAGCCTTGTGATCCAGGTTCCTGCCTGTGGGAAGAGTTACTCTTTCTGGAGAGCTACATCAGGGGCATGGTGAGTTTCCTTGCAGCTTAAGGGTCAGAGTATGGCACATTCCTGGCAAATAAAAGCAGCCCAAAGAAAGGAGTCTGAGTATAGAAAAGCCAATGTTTCAGGTGCCCAACAGCTTTTACTACAACCCAGGCAAAGGATAGGACTTTGGGGAGAACAGGTTAGGATGGCTTGGTTATGCTGTGCTAATGCACAGGTTCATATTTTTTATGACTCAACATGACAGAGGTTTCTTGCCTTCTCATGCTGTATGTCCACTGTGGGTTTCAGGGGCCTATCCTCAGAGACCCTGGGGGATGGAGGCTCCACCATCAAAAGCTTTACCAGTTATTATGGCCAGGGAATGACACCTGGAGCATCTTCCACCAGCAGTGAAATGCTGTGACACATTTCATACCTGCCCACAATACCCTGGCCCAATTCTTAACACATGCCTAGAGCAGCTGAGCAGCCCCTCTGCCTTTGGGTGCCATGTTGTTTTACCATATATTCCAGGGCATCTCTCGGCCAATGTCACACACTCTGTCATCTTCCAGAAGACTAGATTCACAGAATGATCGGACACTGAATGGCTCTGAAAGTAATGGTTTCAGTTCACTTCACAATTTTATACCTCTTGAATGGTGGGGTGAGCATGAAATGAGCCCTAGAGTGGGTGGATGGAGCCCAGGTTTGATTGTTGGCCTTTGTTCCTGTTCTGCAGTCTGACTGGATCCAGCTCCTCTTTCTGAGAAATGAGCTGGTCAGTTAGGTGACCTCTGGACTCTGTAACCTTGCAAACATTTAATCAGACTCTCTAGAATCCTCCAATCCTGAGGTCAGAGAAACTAGAGTTCCTTTGTAAGGTAAATATCACATGAATCTCATTGGCTGGTAAATCTAACTTTACCCACTTAATGCTTATTTTAGGCTTCACAGATCATTTTAAAATAAAGGAAAAGGCATCACAAGCAGGAAGCTTTAGGTCCAGCTTTTTATTTATTTATTTTTAATTGGTACTTGGGTTTGAATCCAGAGGCACTTTACCACTGAGCCACATCCCCAGCCCTTTTTATTATTTTTAAAATTTTATTTTGAGAGGGTCTCACTAAGTTGCTTAGAGCCTCCCTTAGTTGCTTTGCTTTACAATTAGAGTCCTCCTGCCTCAGCCTCTGGATTGTGCAGATTACAGGTGTGCAATGCCTGCCCAGCACAGATCCAGATTTTGTAATGCCTGGATCTGGGGTTCCTGTGTCACCACTTCCTCTTGTGTATCAGAGGTGTTGGGGTGGGCTTTGGAGTCACACTGATTGAGGATCCCATCCCTGTCACTTGTTAACAGTTTTATCAATCTAGTTCCTTACCTGTAACAAGAGGTAGTGGCATTTCCTTGTTGGGTGAGTGTCAATTGAGGATCCAGTGAGTTGAAGTAGAGCTCTTCCTGCAGAGCCTGGCCTAGGATCAATATGCAGCGAGTGGTGGATGATATTATTATTATTATTCTTATGTCTCCTTCTCCAAGCAAATATTCTGGCTTTGAAATGTTTTAAAAAGCTTTTATGAGACTCACACACCAGGTGACTGCTCCTCCTAACCACTGGCCTGTGGCAGAATTGTATGCAGAGAGCTGGAGCCAGATAAGATGACCTGAGGCTTGGGGGAGCCATGAACGAATTGATGAGTTCATTACCAGCAGGTGCACTGTGCTGGGGTAGGCCAGGCTGAGGGGCCCCAAGGACTAGCATCCTGGTCCCCTGCCATGCAGACAGCCTGCTTGCATGTTGCTCTCAGGGACCTGGTAGTCCCTGCCCAATTTAAAGTTCAAACTCTGTAATGACACAAAGTTGCAGGTTGGGCATCTGAGGGACCTAAGTTCCTTTCACTGTCCCTTTAGTGGCTTGCTGGGGTGAAGTGGCCACAGCAAAGAGACTGGACAGAGAATCTGATGATGGTCTTGTTGTAGTCCAGCCCCCTGGATACTACAGGTTCTGAGAGTGGCTCTCTCCTTCACCAGGCCTGGTCACCTGGACTGAAGTGG